CGCTCATCCACACGCCGTGCCGGAGACTCGAGTGTCCGCCCGTGCGTGGGCGCCCAGTGCCCCCGTCGGTCCCAGCCTGTACGAGGCTCCAGGCGTCGGGCTCCCTGGTGGCAGGGGCCGGCTTGCTGCCCCAGCGGGCTGGAAGGAGGGGGCCGTAACCCACCGGAGAGGAGGCGGCAGGCGCTACAGGTGTCCTTTGGGCCAGTTCTCCGGAGATCAGGCGGGGACGGGTAAACGGCCCAGCGTGGGCACTTGACGGTCAGGAAGGTGTGGAATGGGCTGTAGGGGGCAGGAGGGGGCGTTTAGGACGCAGGGTGAGTGCTTGCCCTTTAGAAAAGGTGCACAGCTGGTGGCAACAACTCAAGTCAGGTGATTTTCTTCTTGGCATCAAACAAAAGGATATGAGTTTTGAGAGAAAAGTTCTGATATTAAGATGTCTGTATTTTGTCTCTTTTTCTGCACATAAATCTTGAAGCCATTATTTGCATGCCTGTCTCCCTCTCCCTCCAGACTGGCTGGGAGGCGAAAAGGGAAGGGGCAGAGGGTTTCTGCCCAAGATGCTGAAAATATTTGGAGAGCAGGTCTCTTTGAACCAGGCCCCTCGCCCTTGGTTTAGTACCTGGTGTCTGGCTGAGGGGAGGGCAGGGTAGTGCCCAGGGACTGTTGGACAGACTCCAAACAGGAGCCTTCTGTGTTCTCTTTACAGCCAATATGCCCATCACTCGGATGCGCATGAGACCCTGGCTAGAGATGCAAATTAATTCCAACCAAATCCCGGGGCTGATCTGGATTAATAAAGTGAGTGTGACCCTCTCGGTTTTCGACCACTGTGTTTCCGCCACGTTCTTTGGGGGACCAAAGTGTCAGATGCAGCTCAGAAAAGGAAGTGATGAGGGGGCAGACAGATGTGTTTCCTGGTGGGCCTGCAAGCAGGGAGTGTGCAAGGCCCCACACTGGGCCTCACTTGCCCCATGCCTGCCTCCCTTCCTTCTCTGAGTATGGACGTGCCACCCACCTGAAGCTTTCACCATTTGTAGCAGCAAGACCATCCTGGCATCTGCAGAGCTCCAGTTCTGGTCTCCCCTGAGGGAGACTCCCACAAACACACAAGGCATCTTGCAGAGGTCTAGTCAGACAGAGATGAGGCAGAGAAGTGGGCACTGTGGGGCCGCCTTGGAAGAGGACTCAAGCATTAATCTTGGACCAGCTACTCTGGCCCAGGAAGCTGATAGATACTGCAGCGTACACCTTGTAGACTTAGCAGCAATAGCAGTATTCATAATGGCAGCTAATGATTACTGCACACTCCCTCTGCCTGGACTGTGCTTTGCATGTTACCTACATTGTGTCATTTAATTCTCACAGCAGTTCCCTGAGGCAGAGCCTGTTAGTGTCACTATTTTCAGATAAGGAGACCAAGGCACCAAGAGGTAGATAACAAGATGACATAAAAAGTGAAAACCAAGATTTGAACCTGAACAGTTCAACTCACAAATCCATACTGTTAATTGCTAGTAATAATTCTAACCAGAAGACCCTAGTCCTTATACTTGTCACACATGCTTTGGCTTGTACCCTCCACAAATATTCTTTTAGGTATGTTTTCCCATTTCAGAGAAGAGCAAACTGTAGGGACAAAGAGGTACAGTGACAGTGCCAGGGCCACCCAGGCAGTCTGCATCTAGTCTGGCCCAGGGCTCTCTCAGTGTGAGCAGACCCTGTGTGTAGGAGTGCAAGTCCCAGCTGTCCTGAACAGTCCTTTCTACTGGAGAAGTTCTTACTTCCATGTGAGTGCCGACAGGCATCCCAAGGCTGGGGAACTGCTCTGTGTGGGTCCGAGCAGGTCTGTAACAGGCAGAGGGAGGTCTTAGCTGAGTGGATGGTGCCAAAGCTCATCACAGCCTGGAGCCCTTCCTGAGAGACCCAGAGTGGCCTGTCAAGTCATTCTCAGGATGGTTCAACCCAAGCCAGATGTCAGGGTGAAAAGGGGAAGTCCGCCTTTTCCCAGACCTGGGGGGGCTGGGCAGACTCGGCCCCAAGCCTGGGTCTCTGAGCTGACCCAGCACTGTGCATGTGTTGCTCAGGAGGAGATGATCTTCCAGATCCCTTGGAAGCACGCTGCCAAGCATGGCTGGGACATCAACAAGGATGCCTGTCTGTTCCGGAGCTGGGCCATTCACACAGGTGTGTTGTTGGGACTCTGGCTCAGGAGGGTGGGGAGCGGCAAGCGGAGGCCCTAAGGTTACCACTGAAGCTCTTCACTGAGGTCCCTGCGGTAGTTGCAGAATTATGGGAGGGGGGCAGAGGGCAGACCTGTGTTTCTGGGAGAGAAGGGTCATCATTTCAGCAAATTCTCAAGGAGATTCATAAAGCTGAAATCTTTGAAAGTGTGGCGTTAGGGGTTTATGGCTAAACTTCTCTCTGGCAAAGGCAGCTGTGAGCCAGGGCACTGAAAGAGTTCCAGGCCCTACTTTTTCTTACTGTAGACTAAGGTCCTTGGCCTGAGGCCCATCTGGTTGGCGGCTTCCTTTCATCCTTGAAGGATGGGGCTCATGGCTTGCCTTGGGACATTCAGCCCACCTATTAGTAACTGTTCTTTGTTGTGGGCTCTGTGCCCACTCTCATGTTTGGAAATATCAGATAAGCCATAGTCCCTGCCCTCTGGCCCCTGATAGCTCAAGCAGGAAGACTGGGCGTGGTCAGAGACGAAGCCAGCACATGTATGGGCCTCCTAGTGCTTCTGGCTAGGCCTTCACCGGAGGCCCGCTGGATGTGTTCGAGCTCAGTCAGCACTAGGCGTTTGAGAAGCCCAGAGAGTGACATCCACGAATACCTACTGCTTTGACCAGTGTGGGTCTTTTGCAGCTGAAGATCTCAGGGCCACCCTTGCCTTCCTCCTCCCAGACCAGGAGGAAGCTGAAGCTCCCACCCATGGTCCTCATGATCCTCTTTGTTCTCCTGCCCTCTAGGCCGATACAAAGCAGGGGAGAAGGAGCCGGACCCCAAGACGTGGAAGGCCAACTTTCGCTGTGCCATGAACTCCCTGCCGGATATTGAGGAGGTGAAGGACCAGAGCAGGAACAAGGGCAGCTCAGCCGTGCGGGTGTACCGGATGCTTCCACCCCTCACCAAGAGCCAGAGGAAAGGTATCTAGGGCCCTGCGACCTTGGGAAGGGAGGGAGTGGGGAGAGAAGAAGGTCCGCTGGGGTTGGTGTGCCTGTACCAAGCCTGACAGCTTGTCTACCCCACAGAGAGGAAATCCAAATCCAGCCGAGACACTAAGAGCAAGGCCAAGAAGAAGGTGAGTATGGTCCGAGACAGCAGGTCTTCGGTCACCTGGGGGTCGGGGAGCGGTGGAAGGAGTGCTGCAGTGGGCCTGGGCTGAGCTGCATTCTCCCTCCACAGTCCTGTGGGGATTCCAGCCCTGACACCTTCTCGGATGGACTCAGCAGCTCTACCTTGCCTGATGACCACAGCAGCTACACCGCTCAGGGCTATATCGGGCCGGACATGGAGGTGGAGTCAGCCCTCACTCCAGGTAAGGTGGATCTGGCAGGGAACCCTGTAGCTTATCGGGATGGCTCTTTCTGTTGAGTCAAGGAGGGGTTGTGTTGGCAGATGGTGGCCTGTGAGGACAGACCACAGGGTGGAAGGTGCTGTGTGTCTCTAAGAAAGCACACAGCCTTGACCTGCGGTTTCTGCTGTCCCTCAGCACTATCACCGTGTGCCGTCAGCAGCACACTCCCCGACTGGCACATCCCAGTGGAAATTGTGCCGGACAGCACCAGTGACCTGTACAACTTCCAGGTGTCACCCATGCCCTCCACCTCAGAAGGTTCGTGCTCTTGAGACCTGACTGCCTGCTTGACTGTTTGGGTCCTGGGGAGGGCTTCTCCAGGGAGAAAAGGTGCTCAGAACTGACTGAGCTGATTCAGCAGGGCACTGCCCATGCCCAGCCCCCATGGGGATGAGGCAGGTCACTGGGATGGCAGGAAGGCAGCTCAGAGTGGGCCTCAGGGCTGTGAGGGCTGTGAGGAGAGAAGACAGGGCCCGGGGGTACGCGCTGGCCTGACTTGCTGGTCCTCTTGGCTCCTCTGCAGCCCAGTGTCAGAGTGAGGAAGGAAGTGAGGGGTGGGAAGGGGCGTGGCTTTAGGGTTTCAGAGGCTGAGTCACCAGGCCAGTGTCCACTGGGAGGGAGGCCAGTGTGTGTGCCTGTTGGGGGTGGTGGTGTGAAGGGGTGGGGGGAGCCTCCAGGGAGACTGGAACTGCAGGGCACGTGTGTCTGACTGCCTGCAACCCCTGCTCTTCCTTCTCCTCCATAGCTGCAACAGACGAGGACGAGGAAGGGAAATTGCCTGAGGACATCATGAAGGTAAAGCCCCTTCTTACCTGGGCCCTCTTGAAATGCCTACTTCTCAGTGAGAGGTAGAATCAGTGAGGGCTTCCACAGCTGCTGTTGGGACCACTGCCCTCTTTGGCTGGTGGGAAGGACACTGTGGGTAGTGAGAGCAGGTGGGGGGCCTTGTCTCCAACAGATGCTCCTGAGGCAAGCCTTGAGGCCTCACACAGCCCTGCAGTCAGCTTCTGTCAGCACTGGGTCCCTGGTCCCCCATGCCCCAGCCCTGCTAGTTCGGCAAATGCACATCAGGTTCCAGTAATCTACCTTTGGGATCTATATTATGATGGCTCTAAAAAAATATTTTTTCTAGCAAATTATTCCCTAGTTTTTGGTTTGTTTGTTTCAACTTCAGTTTTTTTCTTTTCTTTTTTCCTAATTTAAATAGATGTTTTGATTGCCATCTCCTTCCCTTATCCTCCCAGGTAGCATGTACCACTGTGCCTGGCTGTAGGGCTGGGAATCAAACCCTGGCTTCTCAAGTGGTCTCAGTCTGCTGAATTTACCAGTGTACTGCCATGGCTGGTCCCTCTGCTTTTTTGTAAAAGTGAATATAGGCCCAGCCATGGTGGCGCAGGTGTTAGGGGCACAATGCTGGAGCCATACAGGTAGGCCCAGGGTTCAGATCCTGGGCTGACCTGACATACCACTGGCCACACCTGGGCATCTATCTACCTGTGTCCCTGGCTGGCGGAGTATGGGTGGGGAGTCAGGGAGGCACAATGCTGGAGCCATATGGGAAGGCCCAGGGCTCAGATCCTGGGCTGCCCTGACATACCACTGGCCACACCTGGGCATCTATCTACCTGTGTCCCTGGCTGGCGGAGTATGGGTGGGGAGTCAGGGAGGCACAATGCTGGAGCCATATGGGAAGGCCCAGGGCTCAGATCCTGGGCTGCCCTGACATACCACTGGCCACACCTGGGCATCTATCTACCTGTGTCCCTGGCTGGCGGAGTATGGGTGGGGAGTCAGGGAGGCACAATGCTGGAGCCATATGGGAAGGCCCAGGGCTCAGATCCTGGGCTGCCCTGACATACCACTGGCCACACCTGGGCATCTATCTACCTGTGTCCCTGGCTGGCGGAGTATGGGTGGGGAGTCAGGGAGGCACAATGCTGGAGCCATATGGGAAGGCCCAGGGCTCAGATCCTGGGCTGCCCTGACATACCACTGGCCACACCTGGGCATCTATCTACCTGTGTCCCTGGCTGGCGGAGTATGGGTGGGGAGTCAGGGAGGCACAATGCTGGAGCCATATGGGAAGGCCCAGGGCTCAGATCCTGGGCTGCCCTGACATACCACTGGCCACACCTGGGCATCTATCTACCTGTGTCCCTGGCTGGCGGAGTATGGGTGGGGAGTCAGGGAGGCACAATGCTGGAGCCATATGGGAAGGCCCAGGGCTCAGATCCTGGGCTGCCCTGACATACCACTGGCCACACCTGGGCATCTATCTACCTGTGTCCCTGGCTGGCGGAGTATGGGTGGGGAGTCAGGGAGGCACAATGCTGGAGCCATATGGGAAGGCCCAGGGCTCAGATCCTGGGCTGCCCTGACATACCACTGGCCACACCTGGGCATCTATCTACCTGTGTCCCTGGCTGGCGGAGTATGGGTGGGGAGTCAGGGAGGCACAATGCTGGAGCCATATGGGAAGGCCCAGGGCTCAGATCCTGGGCTGCCCTGACATACCACTGGCCACACCTGGGCATCTATCTACCTGTGTCCCTGGCTGGCGGAGTATGGGTGGGGAGTCAGGGAGGCACAATGCTGGAGCCATATGGGAAGGCCCAGGGCTCAGATCCTGGGCTGCCCTGACATACCACTGGCCACACCTGGGCATCTATCTACCTGTGTCCCTGGCTGGCGGAGTATGGGTGGGGAGTCAGGGAGGCACAATGCTGGAGCCATATGGGAAGGCCCAGGGCTCAGATCCTGGGCTGCCCTGACATACCACTGGCCACACCTGGGCATCTATCTACCTGTGTCCCTGGCTGGCGGAGTATGGGTGGGGAGTCAGGGAGGCACAATGCTGGAGCCATATGGGAAGGCCCAGGGCTCAGATCCTGGGCTGCCCTGACATACCACTGGCCACACCTGGGCATCTATCTACCTGTGTCCCTGGCTGGCGGAGTATGGGTGGGGAGTCAGGGAGGCACAATGCTGGAGCCATATGGGAAGGCCCAGGGCTCAGATCCTGGGCTGCCCTGACATACCACTGGCCACACCTGGGCATCTATCTACCTGTGTCCCTGGCTGGCGGAGTATGGGTGGGGAGTCAGGGAGGCACAATGCTGGAGCCATATGGGAAGGCCCAGGGCTCAGATCCTGGGCTGCCCTGACATACCACTGGCCACACCTGGGCATCTATCTACCTGTGTCCCTGGCTGGCGGAGTATGGGTGGGGAGTCAGGGAGGCACAATGCTGGAGCCATATGGGAAGGCCCAGGGCTCAGATCCTGGGCTGCCCTGACATACCACTGGCCACACCTGGGCATCTATCTACCTGTGTCCCTGGCTGGCGGAGTATGGGTGGGGAGTCAGGGAGGCACAATGCTGGAGCCATATGGGAAGGCCCAGGGCTCAGATCCTGGGCTGCCCTGACATACCACTGGCCACACCTGGGCATCTATCTACCTGTGTCCCTGGCTGGCGGAGTATGGGTGGGGAGTCAGGGAGGCACAATGCTGGAGCCATATGGGAAGGCCCAGGGCTCAGATCCTGGGCTGCCCTGACATACCACTGGCCACACCTGGGCATCTATCTACCTGTGTCCCTGGCTGGCGGAGTATGGGTGGGGAGTCAGGGAGGCACAATGCTGGAGCCATATGGGAAGGCCCAGGGCTCAGATCCTGGGCTGCCCTGACATACCACTGGCCACACCTGGGCATCTACCTGTGCCCCTGGCTGGCGGAGTATGGGTGGGGAGTCAGGGAGGCACAATGCTGGAGCCATATGGGAAGGCCCAGGGCTCAGATCCTGGGCTGACCTGACATACCACTGGCCACACCTGGGCATCTATCTACCTGTGTCCCTGGCTGGCGGAGTATGGGTGGGGAGTCAGGGGAGAGTGTAGGTGTGATGATGTGATAGGACCTTATTGGGCATGCCTCTCTCCCTCATGAAGGAAACAAATAAGTAAACTTTAAAAAAATAAACTAAAAATGCATGTAAAATAGTTTTTGCAGCCGTTGTACTTTGGCTCTGTACCATTAACACAGAAAATGGAGCCATGGGTGTAGTTCTTTATCTCTAGCTTTTCCAGTCATCTCTTCTTGACTTGTTATGCGAACCTTTGCTTTAAGCCACACTCCCAGCTGGCTGTCCTTACACAGCTGAGGCAAGTCCTGGGATACGGAGCCAGCGGCAGGGTGTGGGAGGCATGGGAAAATGAACTAAGGACCAGTGCTAGGGTGAGTCTGCACTGGAGGGCGCTGATGGCTTCTTGCTCCTCTCTTCAGCTCTTGGAGCAGTCGGAGTGGCAGCCCACAAACGTGGATGGGAAGGGGTACCTGCTCAATGAACCTGGGGCCCAGACTACCTCCATCTATGGAGACTTCAGCTGCAAGGAGGAGTCAGATGTTGAAAGCCCTGGGGGTAAGGAGCCCCTGGATCCTTCTGGCTTCTTAAAAAAGGGAGGGAAAACCATGCAGGGGATGGGGAAGGCTTGGGGACAGGCCCAGAGAGTGGTGAGGTACAGCATCCTTAAACCCATCTGGGGTGCATACAGCTTGTGAATTAGCTGCTGCTCCCCTACTTAAAGGAGACTGGATGGTTGCAGCTGTGGTGTAGACAGCAGGGACTGTGCTATGTCTGGCCTTTGGGTATAGGGCTGTATATATGGGGGCAGGGAACATACCCTAAGTCTCCTTTCCCCTCTACCATTCTCATCCCACCTTCTTTGCATCTTCTAGGGGATATCGGACTGAGCCTGCCCCGCGTCTTCACAGATCTGAAGAACATGGACGCCAGCTGGCTAGACGGCCTGTTGTCTCCAGTCAGGCTGCCCTCCATCCAGGCCATCCCTTGTGCACCATAGCTGGGCCCCTGGCCCCTCTTACTCCCCTAGGCAAGGAGGACCTGGTATCATGGTGGCTGTGGTGCAGAGAAGCTGGACTCCTGTGGGCTCCTCAACATGGCAAAGTGTGCCCTCCCTCCTTGGGTCATTGGCACTCAGCTCCTGGCATGGTGTGGAGTAAAGCTGGCCCTGCCTCCTGGGAAGATAGGGTTCTGAGATCGGTGTGTCAGGTGGAGGACTTGGATAAGAGTCAGCCTAGACTTTTCTCTCTGAGCCCAGCTGCCTGGAGAGGGTCTTCCTGTCACTGAGCTGGTTCAGAGGGGACAGACCAGTGCCCTAGGGCTGGCTCTGCACTAAGAGATAATTGCACTAAGTGAATCGTGTTCCCAAAGAACCACCTCCCTTCCCAGCTGAGCCCTGGGGACTGTTCCAAAACCAGTGAAATGTGAAGGAAACATGGGGTCCTGTAGGGGTGGTGGGTGCTCCCTCAGCCTCAAAGGAACCCTGCCCTGCTCCCTGCTCCGGCTGAGGGGCTTGGGCAAAAACTTGGCACTTTCTTGTGGACCCTACCACACTGCTGATCAGAGGTGGACACTAATGTTTCCCCCAAGCTCTTGGCCTTCGTGTTTATTTATACAGTGCCTTGCCCTGCACCCTCCGCCCCTCAGGCCCCCGCAGCCCTCAGCAGGCCCAGGGAGGGAAGTGAGTGCTCTGGTGTGACTTAAACATTGGCATCTAACCACTAAGTCATGTGTGACCACATACAGACATATATGTAAATATGTACATTTTTCTTTTTATAAAAAAATTGTTTATGAATTATAGAGTGTGGCCTTTTATTTAGAGAGAGATTGAGAGAATTCTTCTCTCGTGGAAACATTCCTATGGACTCCTTGGCATCATGCCTGAGCTTGACTTCGGGTTAAACAGTGATAAGCATCTGTTGTAAAATCCTTTCAGTTATCTTCATGGAGAAGACGAGGGGCAGCCATGTCATAAGGACATGCCCATGTCAATAAAGTCCCTTGCCTTTGACTTTGTAGCCATGGCTGAGTTGATTCTAGGCTCTTAGGGCCTGAGGTGAGTTAGGTTTTGAGTTCTTCTGAACAATGTGCAGGAACTGACTGGCTATTTAGTTTAAGTGTCATGTGTGACCAGTGGCTGGCCTAT